TGACTGAACTTAATCCTCTATGATACTCTGTCGATATATTGATATCCTATCAGTATCATATAGGATTGGGCTCTTTTTTAAGAAACAAATAAGAAACAATTAAGAGAAAAATTAAAGTCAGAATCTTATTTCTTAAACTCTAAATTAGTAGAAACTATATATTTTTTTTATTTTTTTAATAATTAAATATTGAAGGATTGAAACATATATCAATGACACCACGACAGTATGTAGATATACCGTAGTAGTATCATAGATGATTGAGTAATTTCATCGAAGGACTGAAGCAATCCTCAATGAAAATAATGTTCAGTTACTCATTGATATTACCAGAATATATTATACTTTGATGGTATCAAGGAGGAAGAAACAATCATTCAATGAAGACACTGCTCATTTACTCTTTGATACCATAAGAGTATATTCATATACTGTGATGATATTAGAGAGGGAAAAAAAGAAGCCAACATGCGATTTTTTTTTTGATATATGTCCTTTTAAAATAAAAGGGGCTATGAAAGTAATGGGACATTTAAGGATAAATATTTTACTTTTTTAACGTATAAGTATTTCCCCCCCCCCCCCCAAAAAAAGTATAATTTACCTAAATCTCGTTGTGTTAAGAGCTAACTACATTGTTTTCCTACTCTTTTTCAAATTACAAAAATTTCTTAAAATGGTAGGAAATTTTAGAAATTATAATTAAATAAGATGTGTATTTAGGTAATCTTTCCAACGATTTTTTTTTTTGTATAAAATAACAAACTATTAATTACAAATAAATGCAATTTTTGTTTTAACTCGATTCAATTTTAAACGAATTCAAATTTTATGCAGATACACAACACAACACAAATGCAATTTTCATAGACACACACCCGATTTATACAAATCGCTATGATTTATACAAATCAGATGCCTGCGATTTTATATAATCAGATGTTGCCTGCGATTTTATACAAATTTGATGCTCCATAGCAAACACGCAAATAGCAAAACTATAGTTATAGAACACTAATATGATTTTTATGTTTGCTAAACATAAAATTTACTCAAAAAAAGGAAAAATTGTATGAAATAGCAAACTATTAATTCAAATTAAATGTTATAGCCATATTTTATTTAATTGTAATTCGCAGCAAACATCCCCTTTTTTGTCATCTGATTCGATATACAATGTCATTTTCGGTATACAATTAGCCATTTTATATATTTCGATATAAAATGTATAAAATGCGTTTGTATTTGTATAAAGCGAGAGAAAAGTGTGTATACAAATACAAATACATATATTTTCGTCCTATACACTTATAATTATACAAATACATATCTTATTATACAAATTACAATGTATAAATTATTTTATACAAAATTGAACAATTTGTATAAAATTGAATGTATTTAGCGAATTATACAAATAAAAAACTCCATAGCAAACATAAAATTTGCTATAAAGCGCAATTATGCAAACTATAACTATAACATATAAATATGATTTTTATGTTTATTATATGTGAAAGTCATGATCAAAAGACCACTCAAATATAAAGTCCAAATTACATGAGCCCATGAATCCATGAAAGTCCAATAAAATATGACCCGGAAATCTATCGTCTTATCCGAAGACACAAACACAAGCCAGTAGTTAGGAGTAAGTAGTGTACACTAATGCCAAAAAATTTCTTCTTCTTCACTGAGAATCACAGAAATGGCTTCACTATTAGGAACTTCTTCTTCAGCAGCAGCAGCAGCAATTTTAGCATCTACACCCTTCTCTTCTCGTTCCTCTAAATCTGCTGTTTTATCCCTTTTCCCATCTTCAGGTATATAAATAAATGTGTTTTTTCTACTAATTGTGTTCGCATTGTTAGTGGGTGTTCAAAATTTTTGTATATTATGTCATTTCTTGCTTTCCTTTGAATTGGGTTTGGGTTTTTTTTTTGTGAATTTCTACTAATTGTGTTTTTTTATTGTAAAGATTTATGTTTTTGTACTGATTTTGTTCCTACTGTTTAGTGGGTGTTTACATTTTTTTGATATCTATGCTTTGAATTGGTTTTTGAGAGTGTGTGAATTTGGACTCTTGGTAGTATAGAGCACTGTGTATTCAGGTAGTTTTTGGATTTTGGTATTCGTTATTATATGAGGTTTACGTAAGGACCGTGTACGCTCGACCCTTCCCAGGTCCTACTTTGTGGGATTTCACTGTATGTTGTTCTTGGATTCTTGGTAGTGGTTATGAGTTAGAATTTTATGGGTAAGTATGAATTGATGGGCATTGTTATTGCAGGACATAGCCAAGGGAGGAAGTTTTATGGAGGAATTAGACTCCCAGTTAAGAAAGGGAGGTCCCAATTCCATGTGGCAATTTCCAATGTTGCAACTGAAATCAGCCCTGCTCAAGAACAGGTACCAATTTTTTATCGTTTCGGTATTACTTGATATGGTAATTTCATCAGGTGTTTTGCTAAACAGTTGGGTAAATTGTGTGGAAGATTTCTATTTTCTATATAATAATGTGGGATTTGGGTGTTTGGTTGTGGAGTTTTCCAGAATTTATGTTGAGGGTATGAAGCAATGTTGTGTGAGAGGTGGGAAGATTATTAAGATGCATATAAGATGTTTGCTGAAGAGCTTGGACACTGTCCCTTTGTCTACTCCCCCGATTCGATTTGTTTGTCTAGTTTCGACTCTACACGGAGTTTAAGAAAATAAAAGAAGACTTTTGAATCTTGTGATCCTAAACTGAAGATCCCTTTAATCTTGAGGTTTTAAACATGTCATGTGTAAAGATAGAATTAAAGAGTTGCCAAAAAAAGGAGACATTTTTTTCATTAAAAAAAGACTTTTTTCATTAGTTTGACAAAGAAAACACGATATTGGAGTAACTTTGGACACAACAACAACATACCCAGTGGAATTCATCAAGTGGGGCCTGAGGAGGGTAGAGTGTATGCAGACCTACCATTACCTTGTGGATGTAAAGAGACTATTTCTGATAGGAGTTACTTTGGATATATTAATGTATTCGAGTTCTTGAACATTGTAAAAGTTTTACAAGAATGATGTCAATCATGCTATGACGTCCCAAAGAGGAAAGATTGTCATACCAAATAGCTCATGGGGAGTATTAAGTTTGATGGCAAGGATCATCCAAAGTCGAATTCAAAATAGTTTTGTTAGGTTCAGCCTTTAGAAAGTTCCAACACTTGGGCAAAATGATTTATTTGGAAGGCAATGTATTTGCAACCCTTTTTATTTTGGGGGGTTTACCAAGTATATTGATTCCTTTTTGGGACTGATTTGGACTGTTTTTCCTTGAGCCGAGGGTCTATCGGAAACAACCTCTCTACCTTTAAGGTAGAGGTAAGGTCTGCGTACACTCTACCCTCCGCGGATCCCATTTTGTGGGACTACACTGGGTAGGTTGTTGCTGTTGTTGTTGTACCAAGTATATTGATAAGCTTTTACCTACGTTGTAATTTTTAGGCTCAGAAACTTGCTGAAGACAGCCAGAGACCGGTGTATCCATTTCCTGCCATAGTGGGGCAAGATGAGATGAAGTTGTGTCTTTTGCTGAATGTAATAGATCCAAAGATTGGAGGCGTGATGATTATGGGTGATAGAGGAACTGGGAAGTCCACCACGGTTAGGTCTTTGGTGGATTTACTTCCAGAAATAAAAGTTATTTCTGGTGATCCATTCAATTCAGATCCAGAGGACCAAGAAGTAATGAGCGCCGAAGTCCGTGACAAATTGAGGAAGGGTGAGCAGCTTCCTGTATCTCTCACCAAAATCAACATGGTTGATTTACCACTAGGTGCTACTGAGGACAGGGTGTGTGGGACAATCGACATTGAGAAAGCTCTTACCGAGGGTGTGAAGGCATTCGAACCTGGTCTTCTTGCTAAAGCTAACAGAGGAATACTTTATGTCGATGAGGTTAATCTTTTGGACGACCATTTGGTAGACGTTCTTTTGGATTCTGCAGCATCAGGATGGAACACTGTTGAAAGAGAGGGGATATCAATTTCACACCCTGCTCGATTTATCCTTATTGGTTCAGGTAATCCCGAAGAAGGAGAACTTAGGCCACAGCTTCTTGATCGATTTGGAATGCATGCCCAAGTCGGGACTGTGAGAGATGCAGAACTGAGAGTGAAGATCGTCGAGGAAAGAGGTCGTTTTGACAAGAACCCCAAGGAATTCCGGGAATCATACAAGGGGGAGCAAGAAAAGCTCCAGAGCCAAATCACCTCAGCCAGGAGCGGGCTTTCTTCTGTTACGATTGATCATGATCTTCGTGTTAAAATCTCTAAGGTCTGTGCAGAACTGAATGTCGATGGATTGAGAGGTGATATAGTCACTAACAGAGCAGCAAAAGCATTGGCTGCACTTAAAGGAAGAGATAAGGTAACCCCAGAGGATATCGCCACTGTCATTCCCAACTGCTTAAGACACAGACTTAGGAAGGATCCATTGGAATCTATCGACTCGGGTTTACTTGTTGTTGAGAAATTTTACGAGGTTTTCGGCTAAGGAGATAGAGGGCTTTCTTCTTTGGGTAACATTTGCCTGCACAAGCTGTTTTATAGAGCAACATACTTGTTTTTGTCTTGATTTTCAAATTCTCAAATCATCTAAAGATTTGACAATTGTAAAAACTGAAGATTGTCTTTGTACTGTAACTAAACTTACTGGTATTTGATTATTATCAATCTCTGGTTATTCATTCTCCTTGCTTTGGCGTAAGGTTCCTAATGTTCTAACTCTTGCCTCGTTTTGTCTGAGTTGAAAATGAACCCCATAGTCGATCTTTGGTGGGAGTATGACTTCCTTCGTACCAAAGAACAATCCTACGGTTCAAGTTCCAGCAGAGACAAAATACATTACGTAATATCTTTTCATCTACCTGTGCTTTGGAAGACAAAGTTACCCGACAATACCTGTGCTGATGGAAGGTAAAAAGTATCAACTGCATTAGTAGAGGTGCACGCAAGTTGACCCAAACAGCCACCATTATTTACTTATATTTAAAACGTCAATATACTTTTTGGAGTTGGAGCAATGTAAATAACACTATACTTTCACTATCAATGATGCTACTAAACTAAGATGTGTTACACAGAGAGCAACGGCTATAAATACATATGAAGGCACATATTTATGTAATTTTGAAGGAACTATCTCTTATGTTCAAAGTTCAAAGGACAAAAGTCCCGCGAAAGATTTGGCAATAACATCTTTCATTGACGACTTCTATTCCAAAATCTAGGCCTTCGATCTTGAAAATCAGGGGGGCGCTGGTACACAACCGATGCAGCTTTAATCAAAATAGCAGCAGTAAAAGCCCATATGATATACTTCTCATTCTCTGTTTGATGATCAAAGAAATGGATTACGTATTTATATCCCATGTGTTCAAACTCTTGTTCTCGTCGATTCTCATCCTAAATAAACCAACATGTCATTGTAAGAGCAAGTGAGGACAAAACTTGTAGACGAAAAGGGAGTTTGTAGACTTACTAACCTTAAGAAACATTTCTAGAGGTGCATCAAATATTGATGCCACTTCTGCAGTGTTTATCAACGGGTTGAATGCGTTCCGGTCCCAAAGTATGCCCACAACTGGAATCACTGTAATTCCCTTCTGAGAAAAAAAAAAAAGAACACCAATTTGAGCCCAGATCATATAGATCTTATAGGACCAGGACCAGGACCAAGTTTTAACACAATGGTCAAGAAACGAAAGATTTCATAGGCTAAGCCTCAATGCCCACGAATAGTTTGCATTTGAAACTTGCAACTGTAACTTCTTATACCAGCTAAGCATTGATCAAGATAAGTTCCGAAAAATGTAACAGATCACTTAAACTCTAAGTAGAAATGACAGAAAATCAGTAGATCATCGACTAAACATTCAGCTAGACGTTTGTTTGTATGACCATTGCTTCTCCTGTTTAATGCAAGTCCTCAAAAAGAATTTCAAGAACCGTCATTCGATTAGACTCTTTTTTACTTCTCTTGAGGTAAGCAAGGCTTCGGTTGCAATGTCGATTGTGTGATGGACATGAGTATGACATCCAGTATCAGCTAATCTACAATAGACTTGATAAAAAAAGTTTCATTAGTCTTTCTTTTTGGGGTTTTGAACAAGAAATCTGTTTTCCACAATGCTCTCGACAACTGATTACTTAGTATCATTGTATAATTATTGTTGTTGTTACTACTGTTCTTGGCATATATATCCACAAAGTTTGATCCTTTCAACTTTGATATAAGAAAACGGGTTTGTATTATCAACTGTCCCTACTGGCCATCAATATTCATGCAGCTGAGGAACCTTAAAAGCACAATATAGAGTGTATGCAGACCTTACCCCTACCTTAAAAGGGCATGAGCACAAAATAATATGGCTCAAATGAAGCTAATGGAGACAAATGCATTACCTTGGCAGTAAAGGATTCAAGAACAGTGACAACATCTACAAGTGAACGGTCTAATCCAATCTCCTCCTCAGCCTCCCTCAGTGCTGTCTCAATGTCATCGGCATCACCTTCTTCTACTTTTCCACCAGGCAAAGCAACTTCACCTAAAAACATTAAAAATGAGGGGTTAAGCTCAATCTGCAAAGGTTGAGGGACTTGTATCTTAGGTCACAAATTCGAGCCTTGAGCCAAGCGAACTAAATCCAGTCTTTAAGTGGAGAACGACAAAGGGGAAGCCCATCATCCTTGAGTTTCAAATGTTGCGATTGGCCCAATGGATTAGCTCCAGACGGGTTTCTCGATCATAAAAAAATGTCATGCATTTTATTCCCAAAGTTAGACTCAGACCTCCAGCCTTGGTGGACAGGTTTACATGAGACCTATGTTTGAGTGATGCAATCTCGATGCTTCATTTTATATGGTGTTATTTGATTGGGCAACTGACTCTCCCACGATGGTCGTGGATGGATCCTTGGTTTCCTTATACAGTCTTGGACATTCTTCCCCACGTAAGCTAGCTTTTAGGGTTGAGTTATGCCCCAAAATTCATTTTTTTATCACAATAACTATGTCTCAGTCTCAAACAAGTTGAACTTATCTATATGAACCCTACTATTTCATTTAAACTCATTTCATATCCTCATTATACAAAATAAAATAAAAGTAAATAATGAGTCAAAAATACATATACTCTCTCAGTCCCAATTTATGTGACTTACTTTCCTTTTTAGTTCGTCCCAAAAAGAATGACACATTTATATATTAAGTTACAATTTAACTATAAATGTCCGTCTATTTTATACTTAATGAAATGATTTACAGCCACACAAATTTCTATCATTCATTTTGGACCACAAGTTTTAAAAGTCTTCCCTTCTTTCTTAAACTCCATGCCGAGTCAAACAATCTCACATAAAATGGGACGGAGGGAGTAAATAATAACAATAATAATAATATCAAAAGTTCTCTAAAATAGGCTTTAACTTAGTTAACCCACCGCGGTTACAAGTTTTCTACCTGAACTATCACCAGTTATTGTCGAAACATCTTATAATAGTTCAGATATAAAACTCACAAAATAGTTACCAGAGTGTGAAGAAAGTGTGGAAGCTCTTTTGGTGAGGATTACACGAAGATGGCCTTGCGGGTCTTCAAATAGACACACCAAAACTGCAGCCCTGTTTGAATTGGTGTTATTAGGTATTTGGTTTACCCCCAATTCTTGATTTTTGGGAACAAATTGTTGAATTTGGGTATTTATAGGGCTATAAAGACGAAGCCTTTCACCTAATTTCATCAGTCTCTCTGATCTGTTACATGCCATTTGGGCACTGAAAAAGAGGAAAAATGATTTAGGTAGGGAAATGATTATAATCCAAAAGAAGACTCAAAATTAGGATTTTTATTTCATATGTGATAGCTTCTTATTGGTTGAAATTTTTTATTAATAAAAAAAATTATTAACCAACCAACAAACTTAACTCGGATCCTTAACCAAGCAATCCAAATCCTGACCCAAAGTCAAGTCAAGGTAGGGTCATAGGTTGGTGTCGAGGTTCGGGGTGCTAGGAGTCAGGGTCTCAGGTTGAAGTCGCGGTCAGAATTTGGGTATCATGATTAGAAGTTGGGTCTCAAGTATGGGGTTGGAGTTCGGATCAAAAGACTAGTTCCGCGTAGAGGTTGGGAGTTGGAAATTGGGTCTCGAGACAAGGTTAAGATCTAAGTCGGGTTCATGAATCGGGTATCAGATTAGGTTCGGGGTGAGAGCCAGGGTTGGGATTGTGCAAGTCTCGGGCCGAGTCCATTGTCAATTGTCTGCCAAGATTATATTAAATGCTTCGGAACAATGTTTTCTTTTAAACCACTTATTTTCAAAAAAAAAAAAAAAAAAACACTTAATTTTTCTTCCTACCAAACACACCCTTAAGTGTTCTACACAATCAATCTACTTATAAATTTACTCTATTTTTTAATCTACCAATTATATTTATTATAAATAATTATTTATCATTACGAGTAAGTTAACCTAATAATACAAAATTATTATGTATTTGCCGTGCACAAAAAGGTAAACTCCAATTTAAATACAAAACAATTACCCAAAGGGAAAAGGAAAATTCAATTAATTACCCTTTCCCTATCAATTACAAAATAGGTCAATGATTTTTATTTTTTAACTATATATAAGAATATATTGAAACCATCTTCTTTGTTTAATTCACATAAAAATACTTTCAACATGGAAAATACTTTAGAATACCCCAATATTATCTCCTCTAATATTAACACAAATATTGATATAAAATATATCATCACTTCTCATTTTTCTTCTTTACCACCTTTAACCATTCAATTTAATATTCATATTCATGAACAACATTGGTTTTATAATCGAAATAATATCAAATCACTTTGTTTCAAAGTCAACCCTACTGAATACATGTCACATGACATGTTTTACAATGTCATTCAAAGAAATCTCGATGATATCGGTCAGGAATACTTTGATAATAATCGTCGTGACAGAGTCATACTAGATATGATACATAAAATACGCATAGTTATTGCAAACACATCTAAGAAAAGTTTTAAAGATTGTCGTTGATGTAACATTAGACATTGACAAAGTTTCTAAATTTTGTTACGAGAAGAGTCGCGACGGTTCAACGGGATGGTACCTTGCAAGTCATTAGTCATCCATGAGTTTGATGAAGAATGTTACAAATGATGATTGTGTGTTTTTTCGAGACTCTGGATAGTTTTCAAATATATAAATTTTATCTTAAAATATCAATACTCAAATTCATATTTGTTCATATTACTCCTTCATATATATGTAACATTAAGAAACCAATAAAAACTTTTGAATAGCTAAAGAAGTGTATTTATTATTTATTATATATCAAGAACTTTTGTTTGTGGTTTTAAATTCATATGCTATGTGGATTATTGGAATGAAAGAAATGTACTAAATTTTCATGAGTACAAGCATTTGAGTGTCAAATTAAATTTCAAGATCAAACAGATATTTGAAGATAAATTTGAAGCTGGAAAGCCTGCTCAAACGAATGGGAGAGTTTGCATAAGATGAATGTAAGCAAAACACCATAGACAAGACGAAACTATGTTAAAGGTTCCAAGTTCGAAGGACAAAAGTCTCTCTCGAGAGAGAGAGAGAGAGAGAGATTTGGCAATAATGTCTTTCATTGGCGATTTCTACTCCAGAATCTAGGTGTTCGTTCTTGAAAATCAGGTGGACGTTGGTACACGATCGATGCAGCTTTAATCAAAATGCCAGCAGTTATAGCCCATATTATATACTTCTCATTCTCTGTTTCATGATCAAAGAAATGAAGTACATATTCATCTCCCATGTATTCACGTTCTTGTTCTCGTCGATTCTCATCCTAAATCAACCAATATGTTATCGTAAGAGCAACTGGAGACGAAACACGTAAACAAGAAAGGGAGTTTTTAGACTTACTAACCTTCAGAAACATCTCTAGAGGTGCATCAAATAGTGCTGCCACTTCTGCGGTATTTATTAACGGGTTGAATGTGTTCCGGTCCCAAAGTATGCCCACGACAGGAATCACCGTTATTCCCTTCTGAGGAAAAATGAAACTCCAATTCAAGCACAGATCATATAAATCTTATAGGACCAAATTTTAACAAGATGGTTAAGACAGAACAGATTTCAAAAGGTAAGCATCAATGCAGTAGAACTGTACTATTGAGAATAATGCTCCACGAAATGAAACTGAAGCATTTGAAACTTGCAACCCGATACTTCAGTTAGACTCTTTCTTAACTTCTCTTGAGGTAAACAAGACTTTGGCTGCAGTGTCGATTGTGTGATGGACATGAGTATGATAAAAAGCTACATTGCTCAGACCCTCCAAAAGTATTGCCCTACCCGTGTTGGATACTTCAAATATACAAAGCTTTTGGAGGATCCAATGCATACCAGTTGTATTTTCAAAGAGTCTGAGCAACATAGATAAAAAGTTCCATTACTCTTTCTTTGTCGGTTTACCAACATGAAACCTAAAATGTCATGTCTAATTTTGCACAGTGCTCTCTCAACAACTGATTACTTAGTACCATTGTGTTACTATTGTTGTTCTTACTGTTCTTGGCATATATATGTTCCGTGAAATTTGATCCCTTCACCTTCGATACAAAGAGACGTGCTTGTATTATCAACTCTGTTCCTACTTGTCATTAATATTTACGGAGCTAAGAAACCTTAAAAGGGCATGAACACAATATAATGTAAGACTCAAATGAAGACAAATGCATTACCTTGTTGGTAAAGGATTCAAGAACAGTGACAACATCTACAAGTGAACGGTCTAATCCGATCTCCTCCTCAGCCTCCCTCAATGCTGTCTCAACGTCATCGGCATCACCTTCTTCTACTTTCCCACCGGGCAAAGCAACTTCACCTAAAAACATTAAAGTGAGAGGTTGAAAGATTTGTGTCGTAAGTTACAAGTTCGAGCCTGAGAGAGGAGAAGGGTATCCTCAGGTATTGAATGTTGCACAAAGGGGTTAATTAGCTCAATTAGCAAAAAATTTATTTACTTTCTTAAACTTCGTGTCAAATCAAACAATTTGAGACGGCACTAAAAGCTAGTCTTATAATATGTCATCACATTTCTATAACATCATATCATTAAGGGGTTGTTTGGTAACTAGCTAGTTAGAGTTATACAAGTAATAGTAACGTAGAAATTAGTTATGAACAAATCTATATATATTATGCTACACATGAATAACTTACATCCTAACCAGCTACCAAAAGTATTATTACTTATACAGAATTCAATACTTACACGACTCACATCTAAACCAACTATCAAACGACCCCTAAGGGGGTAACGTTAAAAGAACTTCCAAATACAAAAATGGTCCCAATTAACATTATAGTATTATTTAGGGGTGTCAAAAATAAACCCAAACATAAGTAACCCGCCCAGAATTTTAAGGGTTGGGCTCAAGATAATTTGAATTGGGATCAATCTCAACTCATTCAAGCATAACCCATTTTAAGAGAATCATCAATTGAGCCCAATTCAATCTCCAATTTCAACCCTTTTTAAAACTATATACTAAGATATGTTCCTATATTAAATGTATGAATTATTATCTATTTAAATTTTTTTAGGATTTATCTATCCATTTGTTACTTTTTTAAAAAAAAAAAATCTTGAGCGGAAATTCAAATTGTGATTATAAAAATTAATTATCACTGTGTTAAAATTATTGAAATTAATCGGGCCAAATTGAATGGGAAGACCCAACCCATTTTTTAGCCCATTTGAACCCAAAGTAAACTTGGGCGGGTCAAGACCCAACCCGATTTCTATCTCAATCAATTTTAATATCTCCAATTTCAACCCTGCCCATTTGACACCCCTAGTATTATTCATAAACTTCAAATCATGAATCCGACTTTGATTACTACGATATCAAGTGAACAGCATTGTACAAATTTAACTTCAACAAATCAAATAGTTACCAGAGTGTGAAGAAAGTGTGGAAGCTCTTTTGGTGAGGATTACACGAAGATGGCCTTGTGGATCTTCAAATAGACACACCAAAACTGCAGCCCTGTTTGAATTAGTGTTATTAGGTATTGGGTCTGCCCCTAATTCTTGATTTTTGGGAACAAATTCTTGAATTTTTGAACTTTGGGTACTTATAGGGTTATAAAGACGAAGTCTTTCAGCTAATTTCACAAGGCTCTCTGATCTGTTAGATGCCATTTGGGCACTGAGAAGGAGAAAGGAGAAAGGAGAAAGGAGAAAGGAGAAATGGAAAGTGTGTTCTTCTAAAAGCTTATAAAAAGCAGGGGTTTCAAATTTGGAAAATTACACGATTTATATATGGTTAAAAATATTATTTTTAATGTATACCTCATTCAACTTTTTGTGTGTTTTCTTGGTTATATTTTGAATTTTTTAATGAAAATTCTGATTAGATTACCGTTAATCCATCTTTCTTTTTTTTTCCTACTTCAGTGGCCAGATGAAAGTGTAGTTTTTTTTTTTGACTGTGTTAGTTAGGAGTGTTTTTTTAAAAAAAATAAATAAATTTTGATTTGATCATTTGATATTTAAAAACTATTGATCCAACTAATTTAGATTTATGTCAAATAAATTCATATCGAGATAAAAGGCTTCAAGATTCTCCATTTCCAGACTCAAATTCAAACAAACTTTTGATTAAAAATAACAAATCTCAACTATTTCATCATAATTTCGTGACAACAATAATATAAAGGTATAGTTACCAAGTTAAAAAAAAAACAATATGAAGGTATATACTTCATTTGAATTATATTCTTTTGAGTACACGAACAGCTACGTGATTATATTCACATAAG